CTGAAGGATCTGGTACTTGTCCAGCTGAAATATTGGGATTAGATCCTGCAGAAGATAAAAACACATTGTATCTCATTGATGTGAGATCAGCATTTATTACAGTAGAATCCGTTAACATATCGTATTCTTCTGAGCAATTACTTAGCAGTTCATTAGCTACAACATAATCTATTGTGCAATATAAAGCATAAAATAAGTTTATTGTGTATAATGTTATAATAATAGCTGATAAAGATATATTAGCTATTATTATGTATATAAATACTTTCCCAATCTGATTAATCTTTTTTTACTGTAACTAAGAAATTTAAAAGTAATAGCCGTAAGTAATATTCAAACAGATAATGCAAAACAACTATGATAATAATAGTAACTATTATCTTTGAAGTATGCTTCTCAAGCACTAGATGAGTCACAACTAATTACGTTTGAATCAAATGCGTAAATTAGAGTTGAAACTGAATAATGAATAGCGTCTAATATTGGTGCAGGATATATACCAAATAATACAGTAGGTATAACTAATATTAATAAGATTGTAAACTCTCTTTTAGTTAAATCCGGTATACTAAAGGTAAACATTCTTGAATAGGCTCCACCAAAAGCTATTCTTTGATACATATATATAGTGTATGCTGCAGAGAAAATTATAGAAGTACTTGCAAAAACACCAAATAAAGATGATCTTTCAAATACCCCATATAATGATAAAAATTCTCCTATGAAATTTAAAGATAAAGGAGCTCCACAGTTAGCAAGACATAGTATGAAGAATAATATAGCAAATAATGGCATTACTTGAGTAACTCCTCTGTAGAAAGAAATAACTCTTGTAGAAGATCTGTCATATAATACACCTCCTGCACATATAAATAGACCTGGTGAAACTAGTCCATGAGCCAACCCTAAATTAATAGCACCTTCAATACCTTGTATACTGTTACTGAACACACCTAGAAGATAAACTGCAGCATGAGAAACAGAACTGTACGCAATAAGTTCTTTAATATCTATTGTTCTTAATGTACTAAGACTAGCGTATACTATAGTAATAACACCAATTAGGAAAATTATATAAGTATATTCCATATAAGCTTTAGGTAAAACAGGTAAAATTAGTCTCAGTATACCATATAAACTTAATTTAAGAACAATTGCTGCTAAAATAATACTTCCACCTAAAGGTGATTCAACGTGAGCCTTTAAAAGTCATGTATTCAGGAAAATTGTAGGAGTTTTTACAGCAAAAGCTATAAAAATACCATAAAATAAGAAAAGTTGTGTTAAATAAATGAAATTTCCTTTAAAAAGAGTATCAAAATCGGTAGTACTCATGATAGATGACATTGCTAATATAGACAATAGTAAAAATAATGATCCCAACAGTGTGTATAAGAATAAATAAAAACTAGCTTTTACTCTGTTATCTGACCCAAATATACCTATCAATATAAATAACACGGTGATCAGATTTATCATACATATAAATAATTTAAGATGCGTCTACTTCGTAAAGTAACCCTCCTCTTCATCGAACTGAGTCCGACCTCTGTTCATTTTAGCTTTAATTCTACGAATATCCTCTAACCCTTCCATTGTTAAGTGAGCCTTCTTTTCCATCCATTGGGCAACTTTTTTAAAGTCTTGGTAATCCTCAGATTTTACACCTATAATATTGTATTTATCAAAAAAAGGGATAAGACATTCCATGAAATCTGAGAATTTCGTTACACGAAACACAACGGCATTTTGAGAATGTTTATTTACTGAACCGTACCCTAATAAATTTTGTAAACTTGTAAGTAATTTAGAATCTCGAGAGTGTTGAGCTAAATCAAATTTCAATTGAACGGTTTCTCCTAAGTTTGTTTTACATTTATAAATGTAAACTTGAAAACAAGCTTCACCACTAGCAAACCCTGCAAATCAATAAGGATTACCTATGGCTATATCCTCCATTACAGGTCTTTTAACCGGGACAGTATTAGGGAAAGCTTCTTTTAAACTCTCTGTACCACCTAAATTTATTGAAGCTCTAAAATTTACAATCTTTTGGATACCCTCCATAGTTAAATGTTCCTTATTAATCATCAACAATATAATTTGCTTGAATAAAATAAAATCGGCTCTCTTTTGAGTATTCAAAGGATATTTGTCAAAATGTGGCAATACAACATGAATTAAATCGTGGAGAGAGGCTATTCGATAATGAAGAGTGTTTTTACTTGCATAAGTAATGCTACCAACTCCACCAAAAAAAGCTTTAATTAGTTCTAAAACCATTCTGTCTTTTTTATGAATACAGATTGAATATTTAGTTTCTACACTTCAACCTATTTTAGCTTTAGGGTTTTTACGAATTCTAACTATAAAACTTCCCTCTGCATCAGTAAAACCTGTTACAAAGTAAGGTTTTAGTAAGTAGCCACCTATTTGAGAATTAGCTACTCCTTTTTTATAATTAGCAGTAGAATATGATCTTAGATTATTTAATTGGTTAGAAGGAATTCTGATTGGATAGTTTCTTTTGAAACCCGTTAGAGTACATCTTAACATAGGTGAACTTAGTAAAGTTCCCATGCTACTACCATATACTCGTTGCTCTTTTACAGTATTTACTAATACTGGTTTAGATCCGCGATTGCCCATTTTGTTTTCACGCATCTTAAGGGTTGTTACCTTACCTGAGTAATTACTTCAGCCACATATATCCTTTCGGATATTGCTTGGTACCTTAAGCTTTAGGGGTTCCCCGGAATTTGGCAGTAAATCCCTTCAAGAATATTTTCCAGACATTCAAGCAGAAATTAATAAAACCAGACTTATATTACAACGCACGACTTTTATTCATCCCGGCTCTAATTCCTCGTATTTTTTCTAATCCTTCCTTAGTCAAATGATCCTTATTTTTTATTAAGAGGGCTACTTTCTTAAAATCTTGAAAATCTTGAGATTTTAATCCAAGAATAGGATATTTATCAAATAACGGGATCACTTTATTAGTGATCCCTTCGATATCTGTAATTAATAAATTTCCATGTTCTTCATATTTTTCTGCAAAATATCGACCAACCCCAAAAAACTCCACCAAGTTTCTCATTAACTGCTCATCTCGATTATGCTGAGTAATTTTAAATGACAATCTTACAGCTTCACCTATTTTTGTAGGAGATTTAAAGATACTTACTAAGAATCCCCCATCTCCAGATGTAAACCCACTTATCCAGTGCGAATTAAATATTTTCGTGGGTTGAAACATAGGTCTAGGAAGAGCAGTTACATCTGGGAAAACGTGTTTTAATTCTTCAGATAGTCCTTTATTCAACGAAGTCTTGATTGCGACTATTTCCTTAAACCCTTCTAATGTAATATGTTATTTATCTCTAACCAAACAAAAAATCCTTTTAAACAACTCAAAATCAATTTGTTTCTGTGTTAAAAGTGGATATTATCAAAATGGTCTATTATCACGTTTAAGTCCTTTAAAGAAGAAACACGAAACCGTGCGACATTTTTTACAAAGGTAATATTACCTATTTTAAAATAATTTTGGATTAACTCAAGTAATTCAAGATCCTTCTTATGTAAGCCTATCTCAAAAGAGAGTTTAACTCTTCAACCTAGTTTAAATACAGGATCTTTAGCTAGAATAGTAATAAAAGAACCCTCGGCGTCCGTAAACCCTGTAATGAAATTGGGCTCTAGCCCAGGGTTTGGTTGTAATGTAGAGTATGATCTTGAATAATTTCTTGACCTGTGATCCCCTCCCCTTTCTCTTATTAGAAGGGGTGAGGGATAGAATGATCTAGTACTTTTCTTATATGGTTTTCCAGACCATGTGGCAGGAGGTAAAATTGACTCGAAGAAGATGTAAAAAAGTAAAATATCTAATACTAAGAAAACCGCTAATAATAAAGTTTCTAATAACAGTATTATAATAACATAAGATTCTACATCTTTTGTTATTGATTTTCAATTCGATACTAGTGAGATAGGAATAATAATAGTAGTTAATAGAATGAAATATATAGATAGACCGTCTACACCTAGATAAAAGTCAAAATAACTTATTTCATGATATTCTTGTACAAATTGAAACTGATTTGTACTAAAATCAAATAAAATAAAGATAATTAATGAGATAAAGAAATTTAAGATAGATGTAGTTAACGCTATGAATTTTATATTTCTTAATGAAACTCCATTATCCCTATTAATTAATATTGCAAGTATACCTAATAAGGGAGTTAAAAGTAAAGATGATAATAACATATATAAAACAAAAAGAATAAATTCCTCTAGATAGTGTAGAATGATAATGTATCAACTATACTTTAAATAATCACCATATGGAAAGTAAGGTAAAAAATTCTTTATAAATATATCTATATATATATTGATATATTCATATACATATAAAATAGATGTCCTAAAAATTGAGAATTCTTATCTAAGACTTGAACTTAGATTAGGAGATTAGGAAAATCTTGTTTTGCCATTAAACTAATAAGAATTTTGTAATGAAATTTTATAAAACGGCACATTACTATTATAGCATAATACTTTTTTATGAAGTTATATATTCATACCATTATTGTGCATGTAGATAAACTCGTTTACGAGTAATTAATGATTATTAATATAAATTTTCAATTTTTTGTTTTAATGGGGCTTTAACATCTGTTTAGTCTTCTCCCCGTTATTGCTCTAGAAATAGTAATTACTAATGCAATTTTCCACTAGATAAATATAATTTGTCTACTGGGGTTTGTTATACTATTATGGATAAAAATGTAACTATCCTTTTGGGATGATCACCAGAAGGGGCAGATATTTAAGTCAGTTCCTTCTGGGAGACTAAGTAACAAATTTTACCATTTTCATAACAAGTTAACGGTAATCTAACCATTATTTTCTAATTTTTTTTTT